AATATGTTTTTGTATTTTTGTTGCGATCAATACTATCGATATAAAGATTTATTTTACAAGGTATTAGATAATATAAATTATTATTATTATTATTTTTAATATATTTTGTGATAATTATATAATATTCACAGAAACTAGTAATTCAATACAGTCAAAGATGAAACATCACATAATATATAATGATTTAATAACGATAATGACAGACCATCAAAACATTCTAAAGTGAGTGATATTTTCGTTTATAATTTAAAAATAATTTCAAATTTATAACTATCGCATAGTTCCAATAGTTCAAAACAAACTACTGTTATGGGTTTTAACTTAAAAATATGACGAGCTTAGATGAAATTTAGCGGAATTTAATTCAAAATTAGTTAGTTTCTTAAWAATATTTTCTTAATTATTTGTCTTGTTTCTATTTCTTACAGAAAGTTAAACGATTTTTATAACATATTCCGGTCAATAACGTTAACTCAAATATTTATAGCTTCAAGTTCACATATATTTATTTGGTTTATTGCTGCAATGGTATGACGCTYAACTAAATAACTATTCTTAAGTGTATATTACCATATTCTAGTATAGTTTATTTTAAGAATTCTCTAGCAGTTATTAATGTWTCTAAAAAATGTATTATGTGTTTAGCCATTAAGTTTTGTAAGTATTATATTTTGTACGATATTTTATCACTTTATCATGTCTCCTTTTTAAATTATGCCAAATGAATTAAACATATAAACAAACAATATTATCTATCGTTACAATTTTTTTTATTGTGGAATGATAATATTTAAGAACAGTAAATATTTTTATGAAGTAGAGAATTAAATCGCTTATTGGGAAGTCTCAAAATTGAAGAATCTATATAGTCAGATTTGGAAATGGTYGATTGAAGGAGATCCCTCTACCAGTTTCGTTTTAAACGGATATTTTTAGTGTATCTATAATAAACAGTGTCGATTGTGACAGGCATTTTTAAGTTTCATAGATTAATAAAACGTTTGGACGAATATTTTTATATTTTATTTTTGAAGATCATAGTTCGTAATAATTTTCGAACTGATTCAAATAAAGATTTTCTAAATTTAATATCTATTATAATAATATCATTTAAAATACGTGTCGATGAAATGTAGGTAATAAACACTAAATATTAATGTAAAATTTACATTTTTCAGAGTTTCGATGAAGGCGATAATGCAGATTCAATATTGTCTTTTAAGCTATTCATCGTACTCCCTCTGATAAATTTTCAATTATTTATGACTTGTAGTTTATTTGGAACTATAAATGAAAAAGTAATTATTAAGTTGTATAATATTTTCTTTTACAATTGTTTTATTGTAAAAAGGTTATAATTAAAATACGAGTATTTAATAGAGATTATATTATTATCAATAAATATTATATATATATATTGATAAATTTGATTTAATCTAATTAATGTTTTGATATTCAGAAAGATTCAATCATTTTTGCATTATATAGCAGTAATTGGACTGATATGGACTTAAAAAGTAAAAAGTTGATTTTGTTTAATTTGATGATAAATAATGCCAACCAGTTAAAAATGAAGTTTACAATTACCAAAATTGTTAACTTCGAAATGTTTAGTCATGTAAGTATAACAATAACGAAAAAATATGTGATTAAATATTATGATTTGTTTTGTATCTGCATATAACTATGAAAAGTTACTGGAAAGTTGAGATTCGAAAACTATAGTCTCAAAACTATAGTGGCCTTTTTAAGCTATTTATAGGCATTTAAAATTTTTTACTTATGTTGTGAACATTTTGATATCTAGATTTAAAAGCTTGAATATTTAATATAAGTTTGGATAGTTATAAKTTGATCTTTATTGCACTTGAATATATCATAAATATTAAAGTCACATTTTTTTTAGAAAAATCTTTGAAGATCAAATGTTGAAATAACGATTTGAAGCGTGTTTCCGTTTTTTTTTTGTTTTAAAGTATTACAATAAAGTAGTATTGTACATTATTTTATTCCTATRCCAATTGGTATAAGACATATTAATCAATATAGCTAGGTACCTATTGGCTATCAATTCAATAACATTAATTATTTCATTGAGTATTCTTTTTTACGATGTATATGTATTACCTATACGGATATGGTTGAATTGCCTTGGCCACTTGGGTTTTTTAAAAGGTAATGGTTGTACTTGGGCTCAAAAAAAATATTTCAATAAAATTATCATGCATTTTACACTCATTTTCCTTCCCAATTACAGGCTTAGGAGAGTTAGGACTGGTTAAAAATGATTGTTTTATACATCACATAATTATCACAACATTATAATTATTATATTAGGTACTTATTATATTATTATTATAACTATACATTTTTCACAACCGTCAAATTTAATTGTGGTTATAATTCTAATTTTTTTTTTTTCATTTCGATCATTTTTTGTAGTAATGACAAACTGTATTCAANTTTGTTTTTTGAATAATGCAGAGGATAAAGTTTTTCATAGAGCTTTTTATAATATTTACAAGCACACTTTTGATTGGCCAGCACATCAGAATGTTAGTCTAGTTAAGACAAGATAATTTACGACTGCCCGTGATTTTACATATTCCTTGTTCTTCTATGCTTCATCGTGTAKAAGGAAGTAATCTCAGTCTCTAATTATATTGTATGTTCCATACTATATTTGATATATTTCTTCAAGTTGCGTTATTGCATTGCTGTTATAGGTATGTAAACTCAAATTTTTTTAYAAATCTATTCGATGTTAGTACTTACCTATATAATAAAATAGGTAACTAAATTTTAATGTGCTCAGGCTCTTTTCTTGTCTGATTTATTTGTTTTTATTTCATGGAAGATAATTGGTTATTAATGTTATATTGTTACATACTAGTCCTACATACTAATACCTACGTAATACTAGTAGAATTATCAGTCATAATGTGTGTTTATAATTTTATATATTTATATGCTAATTCATTTTAGAGATAGACAGCACAATTTTTGTTACATGGATCAAAATTTAAAATACTTAAAACTAAGTCAATCCAACATTTGAGGCATAATATTTTATTGTCATCTTCATTTGTTTCCTAAATTTTTAACAACATTTAATCGGAAAATCACTGTTAAGTAATTGATATCTAACTCTTTATTTAATTTTGTTGTAGATAGGTGATTTATATATATGTGAATAAATACTGGAAATGGATTCAAAACAAGAAAAACAATATATTTTCAATATGAAGCTGGCAAGAACTACTTGCTTGTATCAAATTTTAAATCCAAATTCTACTTCATTTTTTGGTTACAACATATATCACATTGTTATTGTGTTCTTTGGATCATTCACGTTCGCCATATCAATATTGTTTCCAATTGGTTTGCTATATTTAAGAAATGATATAATTGCGATTATGTACTACATGGGATGCGTAAGCAATTTCCTATTATCCTGTTTCAAAATGTGTAATATTCTCTATCATTCCAAGGATATATGGAATTGCATTGACGTTACAAATTTTAATTTTATTTTGTACAAACACTATGATAAAAATGTATTTAAAATCTGGCAAACACGATCTTTACGAGTTACGTACTTATATATTGTAATAGCGTTATTCGCTTTTTTTTGTTGGATTTTCAGTCCATGTGTTATGAATAAATCTATTATTACTATTAGAAATATTGATGGTTCCTTTAGCAAATACCGAATGAATATTTTTAATTTGTATTTAATAGCATCATATGAAACGTATAATAAGAACTTTTATATATTTTATGCTATTGAAATAATAGTTAGTATTTGCTATGTATATTTTACTATAGTATTTGATGTTCTTATGCTTTTGRTATGTTTTGCAATATCTTACCAATTGGAAACAATTAGTAATACAATCAAATCACTTGGACACGAAATATGTACATGGGATAATATGACGAGTGCGTACGATGTTTATTTTCTACTATTTAATATAAAATATTAAGTGTAGGTAATTATAATACAAGTATTATAGCATAATAGGTAGTCGTATGTTCGCATAATATTATAGGGAATATGTTTTTGTATTTTTGTTGCGATCAATACTATCGATATAAAGATTTATTTTACAAGGTATTAGATAATATAAATTATTATTATTATTATTTTTAATAT